TTCCTGTAGTCATGGCTACACGTGATGCTTGCAGCAGCAGATGAAAGAAGACCATGCTAGCAGAGAGCTCCCTTCAGTAACAGTGATGCTCCATGCCAGGGGAGGAAAAATGGTAGCATTGCAAAGAAACCTGTGTGCACTTTTCCACACTGTGCTGGGCATCATACTGTTAAACAATCAGTAGGGATAATGGTGGGAAGGGCAGCACAGAGGAAAGCAATAAGAAAAATATGTGCACAGGAATTGCAGTTATTTATTGTTTACTACACCCTGAACAAGCATGGCATTGTAAGCTGATTTCTTTTAAATAACAAGAGACTCTGCAGGAATGACTTTTCTACCTGGAAGGAGGAAAGAAGTGATTTATTTTGTCCACATGAGGCTTTGGTGTGACTGTCAATAGCACCAAATGTAATCATTACTGGAGGGATAAACTACTTGTCTGCGACCTCACATAATTTTCAGATATGCTTCAAAACAGCTTGCTGCAGCGTGCCAGGGAATAAATCAGTACTGGAGAACAAGGAAGTGGAGCAGAGCCTGTGTAACATCTCCTCTGCTGACAGGCACCTGCAAAAAATCCTCCTGCTGGGGACCAGCAGGTTATACTTCAGTTGTGGGTTTTACGTAGGTGAAAATTGCAGTGTCTGTTTAGGAGCACAGTTATTTTTCTCTACAGGCCTCAGGAAACTTCAAATCATGCAAATAAAAAGGAATAAATTATATTACCAGGATATCATGAAACACAATTATTTGTAAAGTGCTTGGAGATCAGCTGAAGAAAGTGTTACAGAAATATAAAGTTATTCTTGCTATCACAACTATATAACAAGATCTTTTATTACTTTATGTTCTGAGTGACCAATAGAGACACTTTTCTGACATGAAGACCAACACAAGCATTTACTTCTGTAAGATGTAAGATATATACATAATATAGAAGGCCCGGATGATGCAAGTTTATTGGCATATCACATACTAATGTCGGTCTGTCTCCCTGGGGCCATAAAACTGTTGTGCCTTTAACATTTTTCCTTGTGACTCATGTTTGCTAACACCAACAGAGAACTGGTTTAGTTCTAAAAGCAACAATGAGGTTATTACCAAGCACTTAATCAAAAGAAGGTGGGGTTGGTTTCTTTCCTTCATTTCCTCAACATGCAAAGAAATTTTTGTGAGGTAACAAAGTGAAATAAACCAAGACCAAAGGCAAAGTAGAAAAATACGGGGCATCATTACAGTCATACATTTCTGTCAGCAGAAAGCGGTTGGTAACCGGCCAGGCATCGGGATGCCTTGTCCCCTGAGCTAAGTTTGGACCAGACACCCACTTGACTTCCTGTCTGAGCGCCAGGTCACTGCTGGCTGCAGATGAATTCCAGTTACTCCTGATCAGAGAGAGACCAAAGGCCTTACTTTTAAGGAAAGGTGAAGACAGTATTCTGCTGGAAACCTGCTTTTCAGCACCTCCCTTCTTTCTTGGGATGCAAAAGCTGGGAAATTCCCTCTTTTGGAATTCCCTGAAGCCTTCTCGCTGCAGAAATTGTGTTTGAGGGGCAGCAGTAATAGACAATTTGAAGTTATCCTCCCCTCTGCAGATATTGACTCTCAAAAGAAATCTTACAGTTACATCCAAATTCAAACTATCTACCTGTAAGTAGATAAGACTGTATAATGAAACATGAGAGCTGTGAAAGGCTTGAATTAATGCTCTCTATGCATTTTAATCTTCCTTGTATGTGCTGTTTATGATACATGACTTAATTGCACAACCACAAGCCATACTTCTATACTCCTTGTAGGAGTTATGGAATATTCCTTATTATCTTCTTTATTCAATGCCCTTTTTATTTTCTTGTTGCCCTTCATCTAAATAACCTGAACCCCTAAAATAGGGATTTCCTTCGGACTGTGCCTGTGATACTCTCCTCATAGAATCTCAGTGTTCTATAAATGTTGAAATTGAATTTTACAAGATCTCCCAGGAGACAAAGTAACAATATAACCCTTGATTTAACAGTGATCATGTTGTAAGGCATCTAGAGATCAATGCCAAAACCTGTTGACTGTCTGCTAAATTTGGAGTTCCAGCCTGAGACACCAAGACAGTGACATCTTTCCCGGGAGCTCAGTAATTCTCTCTGTTCAAAGAGCAATACACTCATTTTCATGCCTGCATGTGACTATTTTGAACTAATGCAAACAGGGCCGCAGATGTTCCCCTCTGACATGCAGGAAATAAAAAGATGGATGCGATTTTGCAGGACTGGCACAGAAACCTCAGAACAGAAACAGGGATAAAATCCAATTATTTAGGACCAAACTCAGTTTATCTATTCATAAGAGCCTTTCATTCTGTCCGTGCAACATCTTGCCACATTTCCAGCTTACTGAAATACTACAAACAACATCTTCACAGAATTTGAGCCTTTTGGAGATTAATATCCCAGTTGTATGCTAAATGAGGTAGGGATCTTGCCGCAAACTTAGCATACGGTCCTCTGCTTAGAGACAGCACTACAAGAATGGGACTGGTTTTATTAGCCAATAACCTTCTCAGTTTTGACTACTCCAGGACAACTTGTAAAATCAAATCAAACTTCCAGCTGCAAAGCATATTCTAAGTTTAGACAACAGGCGCAGTACTTCCCTTTTATTGAATTGTTTAAGGTTATGCTTCCTATTCAGTGTCCATTTCCATTTCTAGCTACAATTAACACTCATCCACTTCTACAACAGTAGATCTCAATTTTATTCTCAATTTCATCTTTCTGACCCTTCCAACCACTGAAACTTCCCAGTGGCTGACAAAGAGGACCTGACAAGGAAGGAACAGTGCAGAGTAGATCCTGCTAAAACCGAGCAGAAATTACAGCTGCTGGTAAACATGAGTAACCAAAAATAAAACTTGATTTTCACAGTTGATTTTCAGTAGAAATAAATTCTACCAAGCCTGCTTGGAGGAGACTGTCCTGACCACAAGGTATATGACAGTGCAGCTGTTTTGATGCCATTTCACTTCATTGACATACGTAAGAAAAAATAAACTAATTGAATCACAAAGAGAGTCTAAGAAGGGTTTTTATAACATCCTGGTCAGGGCAGTCAGTTTGGAAATGGAAGCCCTTGGGTCCACCTCATGTTCCAAAAATTGGTTAATTTTTTTCCAGTCACCAAAGCAGTTTCAAAGGAAAACCACTCTGCTGCAAAATGCTGTGGCAGGGGAGGCGAGGGTATCCGGCTCCAGAAAGAAACCCATTTCCTGGTACTTTGGATATTTGTTTCCTATAGCAGAAACAGGAACAAACCTCCTTGACACATAAGTATGACAAGTAGTTTGCCAGCTAAGCTGCTAGAGCAGCTCCCCAAGTTCTGGGGTATCTCAGTGCAATAAAGACTGAATCCCATCATTTATACTGCTTTCAAAATGCACTACCACATGGAAATCCTTTGTCTCTTTCTTTTATGAGTCTGTTTCCCTATTCAATTTTATATGAATCAAAACCAGCTTTCAATTTGGTGGCCAGGCTGAAAAATAAATTATCGAAACAGTTGCAATCATATCTACATTAAAGACAGGGCAAACTTAATTAAACCCCTGAATCTGAATGCTTGATTTACATCTTTTAACTATTTAGCTCATTATTCATTGTATTATATGTTCTCCCAGTCATACAAAGAAAACAGTGTATTTTCTTATAGGCAGAGGAGTCAGCAGGACCTGGACCTCCACAGTCTCAGGGGAACCCTCTTTGCAAGCTAAAGTGATAACCAGCAGCAGCAGTAGCAGGCTGTCATTCCAGGAGCACCTAGTAGATCCTCTGGTGGGATCCTAATAGGATCTAGTAGACAGCAACAGAGATGCACAGACAGTTTCAGTTACTTGCAAATAGCTGATAGTTTAAATGTCAACGCTTTGGCTGACTGGGAACCAGCCCCAGCTCTCATTACTTGGTGGCACCATTACAGTATTTTCCTGAATGATTTCTCTATGTGAAAATAGTCATGAGGATCTTAGGTGCTCAAATTAATTGGTCCAATGTGATATTCTTGACACTGTTAAACCTGTTTGTTTACACCTTGTTCTCCCGTAACACTGATGCACTCGCAGAGGTAGCTTGACTAGAAAAGACACACACTCAAAGCTAGCAACACTAACCTCCATCGTCAGAGTAACAAAATACAGAACAGGCTTTTTTGGTTTATATGGAGTTGCTCCCTTAGCTTTAGGATAAATATACACCTTTTTTAATCCAGGCTTATAGCTATCTCCTTGTGCACCTGCAGATCACACTGGTACCATTCTAGGGGAAAAAAAGTATGCCAGCTGGGCATCAGGTTGGTAAAGCCATGGCAGGGCTTGTTGGGGTCAACTGGCCATCTCTTAGAGATAAAGAGATCTGAGGCAGGATGTCTTGAGCTAGAGCCAGAAGCCTGTTAGCTGCAGAAAACATTAGGTGAACTGGGGAGCCTGAACTTTGAACAAAGGGAATTGATACTCCAGGTCTTTTTTCTTCTTGCCCCTTTCAGTCTCTGATTGAAGTAAGGATTTTTTTTGGTGTCTCCAAGCTTTCTGTAGATAGGAATCCTGAACTCACAGGTTAGACAACTAATTCCTGGGTATGTATTAATCTACAGTGTATATACTTAGGGTGTGTTCATAACTATCCTTATATACACACACATAAATCCTATATATGCAGGTACAGAATTATAAATAGAGAGGAAGGGTGTGTATGTTTGTGTATCAGTTTATGGTGAATATATATTGGTCACTTTCAATTGAGTCCAGTGCCTGTGTCAATCTGATCTTTCACATCTGAGTCAATGACTTTAGGTACCTTTAGGGAAACAGAAATACAGCACCTCAGATTCAGTCACACAGATGAACTGCATGTGATGTTAAAGCAAAGGAATGCTATTTTTCTGGAACAGTTACTGACTGCTGCATATCTGCATGAGAAAATATTACAGATAGTTATAGTTAAAGAAGTACCCACCCATTCAGGAGTGTGAAGGTTTTGCTGATCCGGCACGGTTCCATAAGTGGGAATAATCACCTTGTTCAGTTCCAAGACTAAAAACAAACATAAAAAATTAAAACATTTTAGCATTTTGTGTGGTAGGCTTTTTTATTATTTTTAGTTTTATTACTGGTTTGTGGAGAATCCGTTTTATTGTTCTTATTTAGTAGTGTAGAAACAGAATGCTTGTGTCTCACTCTTCAGTTAGTTATAATCACCAGGTAGCAAGGTGGACAGATTTCACCAGGATGACAAGCTAATGCTAGAAGAGCATCCTGACCAAGCTACAGTGACGTAAGTCATTCCATTGCTAGTATGTGTGAACTGGTGTTCCACAAACTCTACCCATGCTCCAACACTAGCTATGCTTACCTTTCAATGAATTACCAGAACTGGCTCCACCAGCACAGATAGCCCTTCCTGATGCTGACTGTACTTGTCAGGCAATAACAGATAACAGTACCAGCGAATTCTTTAGAAATCCTGGAATAGATGTGATACAGGCAAAGATGCTGTTACATTCACTCTGTAAGAGGAATGATTTTCACATGACCTTATAACACACTGATAAGTTCAATGTGTAGTGATGCCCCAGTTACTCCTCACACATTTCCCCAATACCTGTTAAAAATGAACAACGTGCAAACTGAATTGGGTCCCTGAAAATACTGCATAAAATAAAAAAGATCTTGTGAAGTACACTACTCCATGGTGCATTTATCAAGCATGCTGGGAAAACTGGCCATCAGATCAAGCACTGAGTAACACTCAAATTCATCCTAATAAAGCTGCTGGAAATAAGTTACGGAAGCTCTGCAATTGCTGCTAGGTACTGGTTTTAGTTTCTTAACAAATACTTTTGTCTCTTAAGAAGTCAGATAACATCCGTGTGTTATTTTTAGACCCTTAAAATAGAGAGGTGTCTCAGCTAAGACTATCTTCCACTGAGGAAAGGGTCATGGATATCAGTGATACCTAAGTGCCAGTGTTGTCTGGAAAGGATAGCCTCAATTCATCAAAAAATACTGTAACACTAAAAGAAAATGCCCAAACTGTAAAATAATCTAATCTATAGTATTCTTAGGATAGTTAAACACCCATTAGATGCAATGCCAGGACAAACATAACTAATATGCCTGTTTTGTTTTGGTTTCTCTTAAATACTTAATTGATATGTAGCCAAATTCTCAAGAATGTTTAAGAAGCTGTTTTTCATGGATGATGCTCATTTATACCAGCTGAAGATGTGTCATAGAATAGTTAGGGTTGGAAAGGACCTTAAGATCATCCAGTTCCAACCTCCCTGCCATGGGCAGGGACACCTCACACTAAACCATCTCACTCAAGGCTTTGTCCAACCTGGTCTTGAACACTGCCAGAGATGGAGCATTCACCGCCTCCCTGGGCAACCCATTCCAGTGCCTCACCACCCTAACAGGAAAGAATTTCCTCTTTATATCCAATCTAAACTTCCCCTGTTTAAGTTTGAACCCGTTACTGCTTGTCCTAGTCCTATCAGTACAGTCCCTACTGAAGAGTCCATCCCCAGTATCCCTATAGGCCTCCTTCAGATACTGGAAGGCTGCTATGAGGTCTCCACGCAGCCTTCTCTTCTCCAGGAGGAACAGCCCCAACTTTCTCAGCCTGTCTTCATACGGGAGGTGCTCCAGTCCCCTGATCATCCTCGTGGCCTCCTCTGGACTTGTTCCAACAATTCCATGTCCTTTTTATGTTGAGGACACCAGAACTGCACACAATACTCCAAGTGAGGTCTCACGAGAGCAGAATAAAGGGGCAGGATCACCTCCTTCGACCTGCTGGTCACACTCCTTTTGATGCAGCTCAGGATATGGTTGGCTTTCTGGGCTGAAAGCGCACACTGCAGCTGGCTCATGTTCATTTTCTCATCAGCCAACACCCCCAAGTCCTTCTCCGCAGGGCTGCTCTGAATCTCTTCTTTGCTCAGCCTGTAGCTGTTCCTGGGATTGCTCTGACCCAGGTGTAGGACCTTGCACTTGGCATGGTTAAACTTCATGAGGTTGGCATCAGCCCACCTCACAAGCGTGTCGAGGTCCCTCTGGATGGCATTCCTTCCCTCCAGCGTATCAACCGAACCACACAGCTTGGTGTCATCGGCAAACTTGCTGAGGGTGCACTCAATCCCACTGTCCATGTCAGCAATGAAAATGTTAAACAAGACCGGTCCCAACACCGATCCCTGAGGGACACCACTCGTTACTGGTCTCCAGCCGGACATTGAGCCATTGACCACAATTCTTTGTGTGCAGCCATCCAGCCAGTTCTTTATCCACCGAGTGGTCCATCCATCAAATTGATGTCTCTCCAATTTAGAGACAAGGATGTCGTGTGGGACACTGTTGAATGCTTTACACAAATCCAGGTAGATGACATCAAGTTCTCTACCCCTGTCCATCAGTTCCGTAGCCCCATCATAAGAGGCCACCAAATTGGTCAGGCAGGATTTCCCCTTAGTGAAGCCATGCTGGCTGTCACCAAGCACCTTGTTGATTTTCATGTGCCTTAGCATGCCTTCCAGGAGAATCTGCTCCAAGATTTTGCCAGGCACAGAGGTGAGACTGGCTGGTATGTAATTCCCTGGGTCAATCATTTTCCCTGTCCTCAAAATGGGGGTTATATTTCCCTTTTTCCAGTCATTGGGAACTTCACCTGACTGCCATGATTTTTCAAATATGATGGCCAGTGGCTTAGCAACTTCATTCGCCAGCTCCTTCAGGACCCACGGATGGATTTCATCAGATCCCATGGACTTGTGCACGTTCAGATTTTTAAGATGGTCTCAAACCAATTCCTCTCCTACAGTGGGCCCAAGGTCTTCATTCTCACAGTCCCTGCATCTGCCTTCCAAGACTTGGGTGGTGCGGTCAGAGCCTTTGCTAGAGAAGACCGAGGCAAAGAAGTCATTCAGAACCTCAGCCTTCTCCAAATCCTGTGTAGCTAGTTCACCCGAGAGCTTCCTGAGGGGGCCTACGTTCTCCCTAATCTGTTTTTTATTTGCTATGTACCTGCAGAATCCCTTCCTGTTATCCTTAATATCCCTAGCCAAGTTTAATTCTAACTGGGCCTTAGCTTTCCTAACCTGGTCCCTAGCTTCCCGGACAATATATGAGTCATAACCCAAAGGTTGGCCCAGTTGAATAATCAAAGCCGGTGAGCTCTCAAAAACATAAATGTCTTTAAAAACGTCTCCCAGCATTTAAAAGAAGAGCAGGAAAATGCAGACTGGTGCAGCACACAGAAATCACAAGATGAGACCGTAATCTGAAGACTTGAAAACATGAATATACCTTAGCAGCTAACGCAAGATTGATGTATATGTGCATTATATTTTAATGGTTCAGCTCACACTGTTGTGAGAAGGGCAAATATATGTTCTTGCTATCAGTGTAATGGGCATCACCCTACATTCCTTAGGGTGTTCTTTAGTCTCTGTCTGGACACAAAGATATCCAGACATAAAGTGCTTCTGAAAACCCACAGAAGAAGGAATGTTTGTGCCCACATATAATAGGCAGAGTGAAGGAGAAATATAAGCATCTTGCTTTGAAATAGAAATACTTGCTCTGTGTGCCATTATATAGAAGAAGCAGATGTGGACACAGATACAAAGGCTTCTGCCACCCACTGAACTGCAGTAACGAAACTCATGAGTTAAAATAGACTGCTTGCTAAGTCCTTACAATGTGTAACTACACACCCCTCATCAGTGCTGTCTAGAAATCCCTTCAGCCAGAACTGAAGAGAAGAGGCAAACTTGGCATTCACAGCAGGAAAGATAAATCCAGCTCTTTCAAATCCTGATGGATCTGGGGCTGGGTAGGAAAATCCTCTGGAGAATTTTATACATGAAGCCAATTTGTTCTGCCTCAGTGTCTCTGTCCAAAGTATCTTCCCCATGACATGGTGTCATGCACATTTTATCATTTTATCAATATTTACCTTCTTAACACATTTTCACTTGAAATTTTTACTTTGCTGCTCAGTGCAGTCCCTGGGCCATTGGCCCAATGAAAGGACCTAGGCATAAGGTATCTTACCCTCTCACTGAGGGCAAACCTGAACTTAAATTAAATACATATTAATGTTTGTGTAAAGGCAAAAAAACAAGCCCTTGGCACTACCTGAAACTACTTAGGTAAGATTTCTTCTGGCAGTGGTTTGCAAGGACAGTTGTGCCAATTTGTGCAGTTTTTAGCTGGAAGCGACCATTCTGGTCTCTCAGAAATACAAAAACTCAGCTTTGTCAGAAAAAGCTGCACCCACACAACGTCCTTTTCCTACTCCTGAAATCACCTCATTTATTTCTTCCATCTCCCTTACAACCTTACGGTAAGATCAATTTAAGTATGGAGGACAAGAAAGAAAACTGCAGCACAAAAGTTTGGGGCTGGACATTAGGAAAAGCTTTCTAGCAGCGAGACCAGTAGAAGAGACTGCCTGGGAAAGGAGGTGAGGCCATGTGAGGTCTTCAACATCAAAGATTCTTCAGTGTAGATTAAATATCCTGGAACAACCTAGGCCAAGTTGAATCTGCAATGAACCTCAAGAGGATGGCGTAGATGAGCTTTGAGGTCCTTTCCAGAGTTTCCTCTTCTGAGTGTAAGTCTGGTCACAGTGTTCTCATAGTTACATCCAAAAAAGACCAGTGTGCTAGGTTTTTATCCTAAAATAATAGTTCTGATTACCTATTTCTTCTTCAGAAACTTTATTACTCCTGTTAATGTTTGGGTCAGAGCATATCAAGTGTAGATACTTATGTTCTACCACGCAGACAAGTAAAGCAAAAGTGTGAGGGAACAAAGAAATCTACTGGATGTGTGCCGGCATACTATGATTTTAATTGATTGGGTACATCAAGTTCTATCTTCAGTGAATCCTGGCAACTGCTTTTGTCAGAGAATTTTATCTAATGCCTTTGAATTGTAATAATGAATTTGGAGCTCTTGCTCTGTGATACCCGCTGGTCTTTGATCTAGTCCTAACAAAAGCTGCTCTTGTAGAACTTGCAAGTACT